GCTGGGAGAGCCCTCAGCTCATGCTCTGCTCACTTATTGATGATTAATGAGAGCCTTCACAGGACCACGTTAACGAGGTTAGGGGGGAAAAAAAAGCTGATATCTCGTCGTAATTGTGTTTTCCTTTAATAAAAGCAGAGAAAAAGGGAGGAAAAACCAACAGAACCACCCAGAAAAAAAGCTGTGCCCCTGCCAAGCCCGAGAATCACGGAATGAGTGAGGCTGGGAAGGAACCATCAGGAGCTGGACTTGCATGATCCTTGTGGGTCCCTCCCAGCTCAGGATGTTCTGTGGTTCTGTGGCCACAGTGGCCCCCCTGGTCCCACACCCCAGGGCACGTGGCCCAGGGTTGTGTCCAGATGGTTCTGGAGGCTGAACAGCCCCAGCTCCCTCAGCCTTTCCTGCTCCCAGAGATGCTCCAGCCCTTTGGTATCTTTATATCTCTTAATCCAGGAGCTCCCTGGCCCTGCTGCCCTGAGGAGCCCAGACCTGGAGCAGGCACTCCCAGGGCTGAGCAGAGCACCAGGATCCCCCCCTGTGACCTGACCTGGCCTGGGGGTTGCCCTGGCATGGTGCAGAGGTGCCAGCCTGGCCCTTGGGGAGCTGTGTCATCTCAGCTGCACACAGCAAAGAGACAGAGAGGTTCATTTGATGGGAAATTTTCCTTAATAGGTGCCTTTAAATTACATGCAGGAAGAGCTCACTGAAGGATGGTGTGGTGTAATTTAATGCTGGGTTAAATGATACAATCCAATGCATTTTCATTAGATGTTCTGAGACACTTCTCCAGCATTTTATGCTTTAAAGGCTGTTGGATTGCCAGCTGCAATAACTATTTTGATTGCAGCCTGAGCTGATGGTGGGCATCCTACCAGAAAAATAATGTGCTGGGGGTTTAATTATGGCACCTGCACTCCAGAATGGGAGCCTGAGTCACTGTGTGTGGTACAGTTGTCCTGGATCCAGTGGGATGGGATAATGTGCAACAGATGGAGGGCAGAGCCAGGGAATGTTCTGTTTTAGGGCAAAAGAAGTGTCAGGTTGTGGGTTGAACCTGCTGAGCAGAGCGGGGTCGGGCTCTGCTCCCAGGGAACAAGGGACAGGAGGAGAGGGAACGGCCTCAGGCTGTGCCAGGGGAGGCTCAGGTTGGACACCAGGAGGAATTTCTGCCTGGAAAGGGTGGTCAGGCCTTGGCAGGGGCTGCCCAGGGAG